ACACTTGGCACAATGCAGTCAGGCAAGTACCGTTCTGGCAACCGTCAAACCCAGACACGTCCGTCGGATTACCAGACAGAGAAGCATGATTCGTTAGTCCAGAGAACACGTCTCCACTGCTCTAGAGTCCAGTGGTGGCGGGCTTTACACCACTGCATCCGACGTTTGCATTGCACTTGGTGATGTAAGACTTGGATGCAGCTGCTCGGCCATGGAAACCCATTCCATGAAGCTCTCTATGCACTGTTGTGCTAATCTGAAGGCCATACAGTTTGGAGGTCTTTAGCTATTGACTCTGCAGACAGTTGGCGTCTTCTGCGCACTGTGCGCTTCAGTATACTCTGACCCCGCTTTGTCATTTTATGTGACCTACTTCTTCGTGGCTGAGTTGCTGTTGCTCCCAGATTCTTCCATTTTGTTATAGTACCACTGACAGTTGACCGTGGAATATTTAGTAGTAAGACAATCTCACGGATGGACTTATTACACAGGTGGCAACCTATCGCAGTACCATGTTTGAATTCACTGAGCTCCTCAGAGCGACCCATTCTTTCATAAATGTTTGTAGAAGCAGTCTGCATGCCTAGGTGCTTGATTTTATACACCTGTGGCCATGGAGGTGATTGGAACACCTGAATCCAATGATTTGGAGGGGGGGGGGGGCAATACGTTTGGCAATAATAATGTATCTATACAAGGCAATAGTGCTCACTACATAACCACTAACTATTCAAGTTTAAAATCGTGCCTGATTTGTACTGTTCAATGGGTAAGTATATTAAATGAAAAACTCTTTTCTTAATCGTGAAGAAATAATTTCCTTTTGTGTCTCACCTAATATTGGAGAGTTGCTTTGTTCTCTAGATTCCAGCCAGACAGAAAAGAAATGTGACAGTGAAGTAGATTTATATTGTAGACTAGAAAAGCAGATCGTCTTGTAATATCTTTCTTGCCAAACTTCATTACTTCCCAGGCCCCTTTCTTCTTGGTTCTCTTCTGTTTTAGCACCCCTTGTGCTTTTAGGGAATTCTGTGCATGCAGGCTTTTATCTGCATTTCTTCAGCAGAGCCGCTTGCCAGTAAACTTGTGTTGCCGTACATACTTTTGTTTCATTGACATCTCATTTCGTAATTTTAGTCTTCACTCTGGGTTCATATCTTGCTAGCGCAGACTCAAAGGTTGACAGCTGCTAAATTCCCACGTAAAGACAGTAACCCAATTTCTGTGGGAAACAATAAAACAAATAGCTCTTTTGGGAGCAGCACAGTAATGGAAGGATTACATTTAATATCCAAACGTTTGTTTCCAACTAGACCTAAGGCTGGTTCACTGCACTTATAGAGTTACATTAGCACTCTTGTTTGTGTGTTTTGATGGTAAATGTATTATATGATAGTTTGAATAACTATATATATATATATATATATATATATATATATATATATATATTAGTATATCATGCCAAACTCTACAGTAATTTTTTTTTTTCTTTTTTTTTTTTTTTTTTTTTTTTTATTTTTTTTTTTGTTTCAAATTTCTTTCTCCCTCCGTTTTAAAAGAAAAGGTAACAAATCAATACCGTTTCCACATTTAACCGCTTCCCGACCACCCTATAGCAGAACTACTGCTACAGAGTGGCAGGGCTGTGCAAAATCGTGTGTGTGTGTGTGTGTGTGTGTGTATATATGTGTATATATATATGTGTGTGTGTATATGTATATATGTGTGATTATATATTGCATATTCCAGTGTAGGGGGCACCCACACATGCGCACCGCCCTACCCACACCGCTTCAGCTGTCAATCACGGGGTCCTGGCCGGAGATTCCCCGCTGGCACCTGCCGAACGCCAAGGAGCACTGACAGAGGAGAGGTCTGTATGTGAACAATACAGATCTCTCCCTTGTCAGCTCCAGCACGCTGCTTTTATATTGCTCAAAGGGGAGCTTAAAAATTGGGTGGAACATGTAACATATTCCCAAAGGTGAACTTATCCTTTAAAATGATTGTAAAGGCTGAAGGTTTTTTTATTTTCATGCATTCTTTGCATGAAAGTAAAAAGCCTTCTGTCTGCTGCTCCCCCTACAGCCCTCCCTAATACTTACCTGAGTCTGATCTCAATCTAGCGATGTGCATGGGAGCCTCAGCTGTCCCTACTCTCTCTCCCCTCATTGGCTGAGACACAGTAGCCATTGACTCCCACTGCTGCCAATCACAGCGAGTGAGCAAATGAGGAGAGAGTGGGGGTGGGGCTGAACCGTGGCTCTGTGTCTTTTGGATGCATAAAGCAGGTCTCAGGAGCAAGCAATCATTTGTGCCCCCATAGCACGTGGCTTGCTATTGGTCGTGCTGCTCAAAGGGGAGGATCCAGGAGCGCCAGGAGCCAGGAAGGGGTAAAGCCTCTGGATGGCAAGTGGTTAATATTGGAAGTGTTGCTTGTATCTGGTGCTGAATGCACAGTAAAGCTGGTTGTGGTCAGCTGGAAACCTACCCTCTGTGTGGACTCTTGATACCCCAACTTGAGGTACCCTACTCCAGGCTTTTTTGATTGCACCTCTCGGAGCTGTTAATAGAGCATTGAAATATCTAGTCAGCATTGCCAGCCATCAGACAGTTGACCATTTTTATCTGATCAGACCCCAGGGTTTTCCCCATGAAAAGTGGCTTTATTTCCTTATGTAGCTGTGCATCAAAATACATCCAAAATGTATTTGAACCCTTTTAAGTTGCATTTATCACGTGTTAAAAAAAAGTGATGTTACCTTTTTCTGGAATGAAGTAGATTTGGCCTTCAGTACATTTAGTGCAGATTCTTTTTATTAAGCTCAGTTTCACCACTTTTTGATTTATTGAGTGATTTGATTTTTGAGTGTAACATGCTGTCTCTAGACAATTTTACTGTACTTGCCTAGCATTCCAGTGACACTAGTGAACCTTCTCCTCTCTCCATGTACATCCTATGTCATTAAATCAGATTCTTCCAAATAGATCACCACAAATGTATTCCTTATACCGTATATCCAAGTTATGCAAGATCTCTTATTGCTGAGGGGAGATAAATTGGTCATATAAGAGTATTGATGTCATAGAAGAGTAAGATGCTATTTGCTCATCTTTAATAAAGCTATTACCAGCTACTGTAGCAGATTCCAAGCTCATGTTACCACCTCCCAGGCTGGTCCTAAATAGCCCAGTCTTCAAACCAATCTTGGTTTGATCAAATGCTTTTAGGGCCAGATGAGAGATCTTTCCATAAAGGGGACTTGTCATGGCCCTTGCTATCAGAAGGGATGTTGTTCATCCCTTGTGATAGATAAAAGTGATAAAAAAAACAAAGGTACAGTGTAAAATAAATAGTTTTTTTAAACTAAAAAAAAAAAAAAAAAAAAAAAAAGGTAAAGCGCCTCCATTTACCCATGATCACGTGCAAATGCGAACACGCACACAGGCCCTGCACACATATGTAAATGGCAATTGCACTACACATGTGAGGTATCGCCGATGGAGATTTTTAGGTACCGTAGTTTGGCACCATTCGATGGTCAGAAGCAATTTTACAGTGTGACATGTTTGGTATCTATTTACTCAGCGTAACATCTTTTTTATATTTTACCAAACAATTTGGTATCATATTGTGTTTTTGTGCATTAAAATTCATTAAAGTGTAATTTTTCCCCCAAAAAATTTGTGTTTTAAAAACTGCGGTGCAAATAAAAATAAGCAACACCCACCATCTTATTCCTAGGGCCTCTGCTTAAGCCAGATAGATATACTCTGTGTGTTTCGTGTATATGTGTGTGTATATATGTATGTATGTGTGTGTGTGTGTGTGTGTGTGTATGTGTGTATATATATATATATATATATATATATATATATATATATATATATATATATTTACATTGTGCCACAGAAAATGGTCAGAGCGTGGACGAAGTAGAAGGTCATAGTCTATAGACATGTTACAGGGTTGATTGGAAGCTGGCAGAGTGGGGTCATTCTCAAAAAGAACAGCATTAAGCAAACCTCGATTAATATGTTCTAATCACAGAGCTTATACTATTCCTGCTCATGATGCCATTAAATAGATATCACATTTCGATATAAATATTTTCAGCACGTTTAATTTCTCATTCGCTCCTAGGATTAATTACCGATCCACCACTGCATCCACTAATCTCCAAAGCGTAGGAGTATACTGAAACCCCGAAATATGAACACACCTGTATTATGACACCGTGACAGTCATCTGTTCACAGTGAGGAAAATTCTGAAATGTGTTTTTAATACTCATTTACAGTCTCAGCGAGGAGCTTCTTTGATAATCTGTCTTAAAGTAGGCAGGCACATTTTGTGTATATACAGGACCAAAAATATACTTTTTTATAATATTTCTGTAAATAAGCGGGAAAATTACTTTTAAATACTGAACAATGGTATAATAATAGGTGCTATAGCCAAAAACGGCACCAGTAACTCCAAACAGTGGGGTTGATTTCCTAAAACTGCAGAGTGCAAAATCTTGTGCAGCTGTGCGTGGTAGCCAAGGTATGCACCAGATTTTGCACTTTCCAGTTCTAGTTAAAGGATAAGTTCACCTTTGGGAACATGTTACATGTTCTACTCGTTTGTAGGGTGAAACATGTCACACGTACCCAATGCTGCAGCCGCTGCCTGATTCCCCCCTCCCTGTGACAGCAGTACGGGGAGAAGTTCCATGTACAAGCTGTCACTTTTTAACCACTAGCCTGCCCAGGCCAATTTCCAGCTTTCAGCGTTGTCACACTTTGAATGACAATTGCGCGGTCATGCAACACTGTACCCATATGAAATTTATACTTTTTTTTTTTTTTTAGACAGATTGAGCTTTCTTTTGGTGGTATTAAATCACCTCTGGGATTTTTATTTTTTCTTAAACCAAAAAACCACTGAATTTTTAAAAAAAGATTTTTCTTAGTTTTTGTTAAACAATTTTGTAAATAAGTGATTTTTTCTCCTTCACTGATGTGCGCTAATGAGGCTACAGTGATGGGCACTGATAGGCTGCACTGATAGGTGCACTGATGAGGAGGCACTGGTAGGTTGCACTGATGGGCATTGACAGGCATCACTGATGGGCGCTGAAAGGCAGCACTGATATATGGCACTGTTATGGCACTGATAGGCGGCACTGATGCGCACTGATAGGCGACACTGGCACTGATAGGTGGTACTGATTGGCATTGATGGGTGACATTGAAAGGCAGCTCAGATGGGCACTGATATGTGGCATTGATGTGCACTGGTATGCACTGATGGGCACTGGCATGTGGCACTGATGAGCACTGACTGATGGCACTGAGACACTGACAGGTGGCACTTCTGGGGCCACACTGATCATCAGGGCCCTGATGATCAGTGTACATGTCCCCTCTGCGGAAAACCGATTTACCGGCTCTCCTCTCCTCTCGAGCTGTCGGCGTGACAGCTCGAGAGGAGAGAAATGCCGATAACCGACATTTCCGTGTTTACATGTGATTGGACACAGCTGATCACATGACCGAGCCGACATCTTCGGCTCTTTCCGTGATCTGCTGTGTCCGAGGCACACAGCGCACCGGCGATCGCCGCGCTGCGCGCGCTCCCTGAGCCGCACATGCATGGTGAGAATGGAAGGACGTCATATGACATCCTATCAGAACGAGAGAACCACCTTGCACCCGTCATTGTACTATAGGGCGGGCGGAAGGTGGTTAAAAACAGCGTGGCCATGCAGGGCTCCTCTCACACGGCTACATCATTCATTCACAGAGTTATCTGAATGAATGAACTACAAGTCCCAACAGCCTTTGCACCATGGTAGTTCATTGAATCTTTCTGTCAATATCTGCTTCCGTACATGCAAGCAGATATACAGATAGGTCTGCAGGAGACCTGCTTGGCACCAGGGATCTGCTGATCGCTGGTGCAATACTTTCCAGACTCCAGCAACAAAAAATCATTAATGCACTTTTTTTTAACTGCAAAAAAATTAGCATTTATTATTTTTTTTTTTATCAAAAGGTCAACCTATCCTTTAATCAATCCCAGTGTCTTGGTTGAAATTTTCTATGATGCTATGGCAGACACAATTGTGAAGGTTTGGTAATGCTGTGTAATTTCTATGGAAAGAAGAAGTACTGAAATATGTGAAAGAGGGCTTCTCAGAAAAATGAAAATCCGCCTTTTTATTGGGGACTGCTCAAGTAGTCACCACCTCCCATAAAATACATTTATGTCTTTGGTTGTAACATGACAAAATGTGGAAAATTTCAAGGGGTGTGAATACTTTTTCAAGGCACTGTAAATGAATTTTTAAAAATAACAAACCTGCTTACACTTGCTCTGTGAAGTTATATTGCACAGAATGTCCCTGAATCTCTTCTTCTCAGGTCCCCGGCCGGCGCTCCTGGCTCCTCCTGTCCATAGAGTGAAAGCCGCTTTCTATGAGGGCACTCGTGCGGACTTGCTCATGAGCCTCGCTGTCTGCGTCTATAGACGGCAAGACTCAGCTCTGCCCCCTTCTCCTTCATCACTGGCTCTGACAGCAGTGGGAGTCAGTGGCCAGTGGCTCCCACTGCCTCAGCAAAGCCAGTGAGACCCAGAAGTGAGGGGAGAGAAGAAATGCAGACAAGCTCAGCACTAGATCGAATGAGGGCTCAAGTAAGTAAAAGGGTGGGGGGGGGGGGGGGGTCCGAAGGGGCTGATACTTATGCCTAAACATTTTTTGTTTAGCCTTTATAACCACTTTAAGAGTCCATGCACACTAAAAAAATTCCAGAAACTTTGGCAGAAAAAGCAGGATTAAAAATGCTCATAGTGGCTCATATTGCAGAAACGTTTGTGTGTTTATGGGCATTTGCGTTTTATGTGTTTGTTTTTTTCCTAAAACATTCCTCTTTGCTCATTTTTCAGTGTACACTTGAAAAAGCTGAATGCTCCTAAATGCCCATCTATGCACGTTTATGAGTGTTAAGCATTTTTTCTGCCCAAAAGTTCCTCTCAAAAATGCACTTGTGATGTTTGTGTTTTTTTTTTTTTTTTTTTTTTTTTTTTCCAGCCTGAAAATGCTAGTTTGCAAATATTCCTCCAAATGCCCTAATGTGCATGGACACATAGGCGAACATAGAACTGCTTATAAAGGCTGAAGAAAAAAATATAAAACACCTGCATAAGCAGCATTTTTTTATGCCCAGTGTGCATGGACTCTAAAAAATTTCCTTTTCATGTTGTGGGTTCTGCCTGTCTCTGCTGTTTTCTTTCAATTTCTAAGGGCTACATATCCCATGGTACCTTGATTTCTGCAAGCAGTGATTCCTGTACTGATCTGTAACTCCTCTTAGCACCTCGCTGGTTCAGAAGGCAGGCTTTGTGAAATATGTAACACAGCAGTGGGCTACATGCACACTAGCGTTTTTTTTTTTTTTTTTTTTTAAGCTCAAAAAAAGCTGGATGAAAACGCTGCTAAAAGCATTTTTGTGCTGGCTTGTAGTAGCATTTAAGGAGCATTAGTATTTTATTAGCGTTTTTATAGTATATGTAGAAATAAGCTGTTAGGAGTGTTTTTAGTAGCTTTTTGGAGCATTCAGGGTTTTTTTGCTGTCAGAAAAATGCCACAAAACTCTACAAAAACAATTTTTTTTTTCCTGCTCCTAAACAATGAAGCTTGAAAAATACTACTAGCCTACAATAGTGTACATGAACACATAGTATTTAGCTTCTAGGAGCATTAAAAATGCTAGTGTGCATGGAGCCTTACCGGACATAGTGAATACGGGTCACAGAATTCAAGGATGTAAGGCTCCGTTCACACCTATGCAGTTGGCTTTTTGTCCATTTTGCACTACTTTTTTGCCGTTCATTTTGCAATTTTCTATACGCCTTTTTGATGCATTTTTACCATGTTTTGCGTTCTTTTTTTTTTTTTTTTTTTTCTTTTTTTAAGTGGAATTTTTTTTTGTTGCTGGGAAGACTAAAAAAATTCAAAACGCAAAACTTGCCAACAAGGTGGCAAAAATGCACTACCATGCATTTCAGCAGCTTCTCCATGGAACTCTGTTGTAGCAAAAATGCTGCTTTTTGCTTTTAAAAATAAGTCCCTGACCCTTTCCAAAAATGCAGCAGCTCACAAAAGCATAGATATGACCATGTTCCATATTAAACCATATTAAATGGACTGTAGTGCGTTTTCTGCAAAAAACACTAAAAAACGCATTGGTGTGAACGGAGCCTAAATATGTGGGATCTCCACAAAGTAACATGGAAATCATTCAGAATTGTCGGAGTAGGCTAGAAATAATTGAGATGCAATGTGGAAATGAATATGATGGTTTTGAGTTCTGACCATAGATATGCTTAAAGTTCCCAGCTAAACCATTAAAAGCATCAAATAGCTATTTTTCCATAGTACGTGTTAGCTCATAGCATAAATACAGATGGCTGCTTGAGTGTCTTGATGTGATCTTATTATCAGGAAAGAGCACCACAGACAGATATTATTAAATCCCTGCTCTAATCTGCATCAACAAATTGTATTCTTTACTGGACCACGTACAGAGGCAAATCTCTTCATTTCTGAAAGCACATAAATCTTCCATAAGCCACAAGAGTGAGGCCAGTCTTAAAAATATGTGGTGTTTATATGGATCTTTATAAAATATATAATCTTTCCAGTAGATTGCTGCGTTTCTGATTGATATGTTTGTATGGTTCAGTGGGGCTGTAGACTAGAATTATTGTGAGACAAAATATTGTTAGAATCAATGAATTCATTCCACACATCTATCAGTCAAGTAATCCTGAATCTACATTAGTTTTGAGATTATGTTGGAAGGGTCTTTCAGTACATCCAAGACTCATGTTTCAGTTTTGGTAGATGGTGGAGAGTTGAACCACCTATGGACCCTTTCACGTGGGGCAGATTCTGTTCCGATCAGCTCACAGATCCCTTGTTGATCGGAGCAGAGCGGGCGGATGACAGATCCGTGTCTGCGCAGTTTCTGCAGAGCAAATACGAACAGAGCCCATTCTGCTCTATGGTTGGCTAGGAATTAACAAAGTCCACTGTCCATTTACACCTGACTACCTTCCAATCCCATTCACCTACACGGTAGTAGATGGCTCCCCTTCTATATATATTTTTTTTTTTTTTTTTTTTTTGTGGACCTGATTTTACCTGTAGGTAGATGGGTGTAAACAGACACAAGTACATTTTGCACCCACCTGTCCATAGGAATGCTTGGATCTTCTGATCAGGTCTGCCAGAAAACTGATAGGCAGACCTGATTGGATCACCTGTGTGAAAAGGCCTTCGTCACCAGCACACTGTAACGATTTAAAATTACACAATTTGTGTGCAGTTTCAGTACGATATCTGAAGATTTTATTGCTACTTGTGAAGATTTTCAACAATTTCTTGCATTTTGCAGTGCGATTTCCATTATATTATATGGATATGAAATCGCAACAAAACTGCAGAAAAAGTAATCCAAGAACTACTTTAGAAATCCCGCTGCAGCAAATCGCACAGAACTCTGGCAGGCAAGGGTTAAGTCCAGGTTAAATCCTCAGCACAGGGGTTGGCACACAGCAGGGAGGCAGAACTCTGGCAGACAAGGGTTAAGTCTGGGTTAAATCCTCAGCCCAGGGGTTGGCAAAGAGGCAGAACTCTGGTGGGCAGTGGAGAGAGCAAGGGCAGTGGCAGGCCAGCCAGGCTCCTCAGAGGTCCTCGGGTCCTGGGATGGAGAGGGGGCTGTGGGGTTTGGCCGCAACAAGACCTCTCAATAGCGGGGGATTGAAAGGAGCGAGCAGGGGGGAAACTGCCTGTGCCCGGGTCCTGCTCCGATATTTATTTCTGGAGCAGGACACTCCTAGGTTTCCAGGCAACACAAGCCCTGACATCGGGTTGCTGTGGTGATAAGCCCCGTCCCATCACTCCAGCTGCACACAGGAAGCGCCCAGACAAGGGAAGGGGGCACGTGGTGACATACAGGTGACCTGAATCCACATGCAGGCACAGTGGGGAGGCAGACTCCTTGGCGCTTGGCCAAGGAGAGATGTGGAAGTCCCTAGCAGGAGGCAGCTTCCTGGTGCCTAGCACATCAATTATGTGGGCTATGTGTGGGCGCAGGGGCATGTAATGGGGAAGTGGAGTGCAGGGATCCGGTGGGAGGAGCAGGGGGAACCATGACACCCTGTAATCTATTTTCCATGTCCTTATTTCTTGCTGGTTTTCTGCCTCCTTGTCATATCCTATGTGAGCTCACGCACCACTCCTTTCCCCCTCACTTCTGTTCGTTTGGAATGAGCAGTGCACGGTCATTGCGATCATGTGTGCCGCTCTATGCACACTGCACAGCCCATAGTTCATAGTCATTAGTCCATCTTG